TATTTGTCAATTCTCATAGCTGTACATCAAAATGAATACATTTTACTACACACAACTTTGAAAATAGTAACATTAATTTTAAATTCAGATTTTTAAATTCCAAAAAACTACTGAAAAATTGTGCTGCTATAAAGATGGGTGCACATATATTGCTGTGGTATGATGCTTTTAATTCTTCTGGGAAGATACCAGAAGGAGAATAGCTGGGTCAAATGGGACCTCTAATCCTAGCTTTTTGAGGAATCTCTGTACTGATTTCCAGTGGCTACACGAGTCTACATCCCACCAACAGTGGAGAAGATTTGCTTTTTCCTCCCAGCTCCACCAGCATTTGTTATTAGTTGATAATTTGATGATAGTCATTCTTTCTGGAATGAAATATCACAGTGTTGTCTTACTTTGCATCCCTTGAATGACCAATGATGTTGAACATTTTTTCATTTATTTATTTGCCATTTGTATTTCTTTCTCTGTGAAGCATGTATTCCTTGCAGATGTCCATTTTTTGGATTGAGACTTTGAATTGGGGGGGGGAGGTCTGAGTTTTTTCAATTTCTTTATATGTTCTAGATCGAACTCCTCTGTCTGACAGACAATTTTTCCACCTGTGGGTTGTCTTTCCACTGTACTGGTGATTTGTTTTGATATGCAAAAGCTTTTTAGTAAGATGAGATCCCAGTTGTTGACTCTTTGAAGTATTGCCTGTGCAGTATGGGTTTGTGCTCATGAAGTCTGCCTACATAGCACAACTTATAATAGCTATTTAAATCTTAGAAACAACTCGAATGTCCATCAACTGAAGAATGAATAGAAAAGATGTGGTCTTTTTATACAATGCAGTATTACTCAGTCTTCTTATAAAGGCTAAACTTGGGACTTTTTAGGTAAATGCATGCAACTTGAGACCATACTCATAAGTGAAATAAATCAGATTCAGCATATTGTCTCCCTCATGCGAGAAACTGAAAGAATAAATAATGTGTAAAATGTACAACAGATATTGTGAAATGGGAAGAAATTGTCTAAAAGGAAAAAGGAATGAAGATGGCAAAAGGAAGGAATGGAAAAGGAAGATAAAAATGCTAGTTATACTATTTGTGTCTCTTAGTTCATAAAAAAGGAAGGCTTGTGCTAGTATAGATTGGAGAATTTTTTTATTCCCCTATCTTGTACTCTGAGTAACTATTTTAAAGATAACAACATGTAATGTATTAACTATTACTATCTTCTATTATCTTGTTATGAATTTGTTTTACCTTATTCCATAAAATAAACTCCAAAAATTAATTTGAAAGTACATATTCACTGAAAATTTAAACATTCTTCTATAAATGATATACTTCACAGACTAATATAGGACTATTATTTAAATATTAATAAATGTTGGTAATTACAGAATATAAAAATTTTACATAGTAGGTATCTTATTTTATTTTTTGTAATAAGGGTTGAACCTCCTTTACACTGCACTACTTCCCTAGCCTTTTTGGTATTTTATTTCAAGACAGGATCTCAGTAAGTCCCTAACTTGTACCAGGTTTAGGCTCAAACCGGAGATCCCCTCCAGGCTCAACCTTCCGAAGTGCCAGGATTAGAGGCCTGTAACACTACACCAGGTTACATATACGCAGTGTTTTTGCTACTTATTACTTTCCTGTTTTCACAACAGAAGGTCATAAAAAGATGAAAAGCATTTTTGTATTGTTTCTGTTTTCCTTTTCAGGTGTTAAATACAGGAGGAAAAAAACACTACCATGGATTCCCTCTGTATTTCCCTTATATAAACTGGATCTCTTGTCCTGTTTTGTATTTTTTTATCTTAATCTTCCACTTACTCTTTTACTATTTTTTATTTTCAGGCAGACTATATTTTACTCTTTTGATATCTGCTGGAGTTCCACAAGACTTACTGATTATATCTTTACTTCAATTCATACTATTCATCTTATTTATTGTCACCATTGCTTAATGCTCATTATTGTTTAAATGCCAAATATCAAGCTCAAAGGTCATGTCCTTTCTTTCACCTTTGAAACTATCTCAAGTTTGACATTAAACTTTCATTATAAAGACAGATGGGGTTGGATTTGCAGACACTGTATTTCACTCAGTTATTTAATAATGGAAGAACAGTTTCAAAAGTATATGAAAAGGAAAAAACTACAATTATTCCACCAAAGAAAAAGAAAGTTTTGAGCTGATTTAATAGATTCTGTGGCTAAATTATACCCTGAGGGCTTTAAAACTGCTTAGAGAAACTTTTTCCTGACTAAAATAGCAAGTGCTAGAAAAAGTATTTACTATACGTTTATTTAATGAATGAATAAAAACAAAGATCTTTCAAGTACAGATAAAATATTAATTTGTTTGGGCTTACAAACTTTGCACAAATCAAGTGGGAATCCTGAAATATATGTGTAGTTAACTAAAACAATCAATCCATCTTTTTGAAAAGCTTATTTTTTATCTTTTTATCTTTTTATTAAACTTTAAAACTTTACAAATATATAACTGGATACTTTTGGTAAGTTGTGTTTTAAATATTATTCTATTTTAGAGAGACCATGATCTCTCATGGTCTTTAATCAATCAGGATTACTACATATTTCTATATTGTTCCCTTAATGAGAACTAGAATAAACTATTTAATATTCTAATCATTTGCTTTAGTGATAAAATAGAAGCTACCTAAAATACATACTCCCTATACAGATACGTGTATATACATAAAAAGAGGTTGCTATGCTGTATCAATCTTTATATCTATTCTCCATATTTTAGCTTACTATAATTTTCTTGCTGTTACACTATCCTATTACAAATGAGAGTACCTCTGTACAACATATACTGTATATTGGTATATATATATATATATATATATATATATATATATATATATTATATTATATATATGCGTGTGTGTGTGTTTGTGTGCAAAAACAAATATTTATAGCAAATGAGTATGCACAATGTGAAAACACATACTCATTCCAATTCTCAACAAAGCCGTATTTTGTGCCAGATAAATTATGTACATATTTTAATGCTAAGAGTAAAACAGTAAGACTAATAATATCAGTGTGAAAAACTATAGATGTTGTGTAGAAACACATTGTACAATATGCCAGGATACACAAGCCCTGTATTGCTTGATTTCATTTAAGCTTCATCTTAAAAATGCTAATGAAGATGACTCAATTCTCTCTTTCACTGACTAATTATACAACATTCTCTCTCTCCTTTTTTTTTTTTTTTTTTTTTTTTGGTCTTATAAATACACATTACCTATGTCTATCTTTTGGGACCATTAACTATATCTTATCTCTTTCAACCAAAAATGTCGTTTCTATTCTATCTCTTAATTCTACAATGTATAGTGTGTATATATTACATAAATATGGCATATATACAACTATACAATGCATATCAATGTATATAAAAACACAAACCAGAAACATGAAGTTTACATGAGTTAGCAAAATCATGTTTCCTTATGGTATTACCTGAGTTGATATTATTCCCACTAAATGGATTCCACTTATTTTCAGTTTCACCAATGTTTTATTTCAGTGTTCATGCTAATTTCTCAAAAACAACCCAGGTAATGTAAAGAGGCTATTTACTTTTGTGTTTGTTTTAAAAACAATTAAATGGGTGTTTGTTAGCAGCAGCCACCAAACAGCCTGATGACCCTCCCAAAAGCAGCCTCCACAAAGATCTGCTAGAGCTGGATGTAGTCACTGGTCACAGTGGCCACCACACCTCTCAGAAGCCAGGGAAGCACCACTCTCGCAGGTGGCTTCCCGGCTCAACAGCTCCAGCCCTGGCAAGTCCAGCTCCTACAATGGCAGCAACCCCAGGTATATGTACCATGCCAGGCCAAGCTGGCTCTACACAGTTATGGCCATTGTCACTTCCACATTCTGCACCTGGTAAAGAACATGCAGATGCCTCACCTGCCCTGGCTGCCAAGAATGAGCCCACCCTGGGCCTAACCCAAGAGACATGGAGCATGGTGGCCCAGAGTGTAGGGGCCCATGGGCCTACCCAAAACACCTGCTGTTGCACCAGAAGCCAAAGCGGTATGACCAGGTCAGCCTGCGTGCAACATGCAGCAGAACCCACTGACAAGCGCAGCAAGAATGCCAATAGCAACAAAGGGCAGCAAGGATAGAAAGCCTATCCAGACCTCTCTGGTTCCTGTCCCAAGCACAACAAGAATGAGCGAGAACCCAGGATTGGAGGTACTTTCAATTCTTCATGGAGTGCATGTGGAAAATGACATCAAAAGATACCAGCAAAAGAACAGTCAGAGGTTGTACCTGGAGTAAGAAATGGTCAAGTCCGGACTCAGCCTGAGCAAGAGATGAGGAAGATCATCTACCAAGAAGGGGTTAACCACAACAGGCTCAAGAGGGTAGATGGACATAGCTGTGGCTGTGAAAATCAAACCCCTGGGAATCAAGCAGTGTGCCTGGCCTCAGTGACATAGCCAGAATTCGTGCCATGTGGGCTAGTCCTTCTATTTGCTATCTGCAACCTATCTTCCCATGTTACAATGGAGTAAACTGTTACAATATAATCTTTTTGGCCCAAAATTGTGTTGCCTGAGGCAGACAACCCCTCCCTCTTCTGCTAGCTATGCCACTGCCTAGCCTAACAGGGACTGTACACCAAAAAAACCCCTGAGAAAATAGATGTGCTAAGCCAGAGCCAGAAAGCCATGTCAAGGCTAAGAGACATCCTGGTGGAGACAGGCAAAGACTGGACAAAACCCACTACTCCTTCAAAATGGAACACTGCTTCTAACTAGATGGGAGAAAGGGGAGGGATGGCAGCCTGTTGATCCCAATGATCCACAAGCACTTGGCCCAACTCCACAACACTGAGTTGACTCTGGCCACAGAGAGTGTCTCCAAGATAGGTTTCATCTAATGAGACAGCAAGCCTGATCTGGATACTGGATACTCATATCAAACCGGTAGTGTTTGTTTGTTGTCTCTCTCTCTCTCTCTCTTTTTTTTTTTTTTTTTTTTTTTTTTTTTTTTTTTGATAAGGGGGATCAAACTCACAACCTTGTGCTTGCCAGGCAAGTGTTTAGGCCACTGAGCTAAATTCCCGGCTTCCTGGCCCCTGAGTTTGTCTTTTTGAGACAGGGTATTGCTATGTAGTTTAGGCTGGCCTTGAGGTCACTTTGCAGCTCAGTGTGGTCTTAAACTCACAACAATCCTCCCGCCTCGGCCTCTGGAGTGCTGGGATTACAGGCATACACTACCATGCCCTGTGACTCACAATTCTAAATCCTTCAGGAAGGTGTTGGGAACCACATCAATGAAGACAGTATGGAGTCTGATGATACCTGGGATGATCTGTCTAACCATAGGTGTGGGAGCAGGGAAAAAACCTTGGAGAAGAGAGCACAGAAAGGACCAGAGGTGCCTGGAATTTTGTGGCTGGAACTCCAAATTGTATCATGCTGGAGGTGCTCCTGCAGGAAGAGTATGCCCAGTTCTTGACTGGTGTATCTTTCACATGATTCTCTTTCAGATACAAGTGGGGCAGCTACCCTTTTAGGCCCCTACCCCCACAGAAACCCAACTGAAAGTAGGAAACTAGGAACACACACTCCACATTGTGGCCCAGGCATAGGGAACCACTCAGACTGAGTCAAAGTTCAGAGCGCGTAAGGACATTTCCAAACATCCCTGAGGATACGGCCCTGTTGTCAGCACAGGTGCACAGTGGGACCTAACTACATAACCATGACTTAACAGTGGACAACTACACATGCACCATGAATCCAGCATGTAAGAATGTAAACAGGTGATAACAACCTGCATAAAAGTTATAGAAAAAAGACACAGGTGGCTCTTGCACTGTGCTCTGCTCTGTGCTACTGTTGTTATTGATGTCATGCACACACACATTCTTTAATCTAGGGACCTCATCTGCAAAAAATCTCTCTTGAGCCTCCCAAGTGGGCCAACACTAGGTAAAGGTGAGCACTGAGATCAGGGCCTCACCACCAAAATGTGTTGCTCTGCCTACTGTTACTTAGTAAGGGATGGGGCACACAACCTGAAAGTCTACCAGTTCTTCAGTGCCATCAATTTCTGCAGTGACATCCACAAGCAGCAAGCCCCTGCATTCCCATCATCAGCCACCCACCCCCACACTTCAGATTTTGATGCTGTGGATGAAAAGAGCTTCAAAAATAAGGCCAGTGAAAACTGCACCAAAACCTGGGACAAGCCCAGTACCCCTGAACATTTATTTTAGGAGTTCACTTTCCAGAGTTTCTGTGATGACCTTTAAGGTGCCCAAGGTCTTCGAGAACAGAAGCTTCACAATTTGAGAACTCGGATCTAGAAGTTCTGATCTAGTGGAAGAGACTGAAGGCTACCAGCTGGTATACACAGAAGTGATGGCCATGGGCCCTGCAACTGCATTTTCAGAGGGTAGGGGCTGCAGCTGTTCTTAAACCATCTGACAGGGAAGCCCAGGGGCCTTATTTTCAATTAGTGGGTTGACTACATCACTTGAAATTCTGCTCTTTACCAAGAAAACTCAAAAACAAAAAGAAACTTCTTTTTAAAAGGTCTCAAGTCTGGTAGATGATCATTTCTACATTCTGCTGAAGGGTAGCAAGGATGTGGGGATGGGGATATGAGTTTGAATTGACATTTAGGCACCTTTATGCATTAAAACAGTATTTTTAAAATTTTAGTACAGTTTAGAAGGCATTTATTCCATTAATATATATTTTCTTACTAAACTATAGGGATTAACTCTGACAAATCATGCTGCTGTTATTTTCTACATTTGTGTTTTATCCATAGCACTCACGTTTAGGAAAAGACTTAAAAATTGAAGAACTTGTAATAGAAAATCTCTACAATATTTTTAAAAAGGTAATGTTTTACTAAGATGTCATAGACTATTTTATCCACACAATGGTTTTTGATTTTGCATTTTTCCCTGCATTTCACAATTATAGTATGTTCAAAGCTGCTTTTTTTTTGCTTGTTGCATAAAATAATATAATAGTGTGAGCAAAGTATTGGTATGGGTGTGATTTCAGATGTCTGATGTATAGAAAGTACTACATGAAAATGGTTTTTCTGTTATAAAATCATTACTGCTGTTCATAGCAGGTTCTGTGAATGTTCTTACCTACCATTTTTAAATAAGGGATTCTAGACAGTGCGTTGATAACATATCATGTGGGTGATGATCTTCACTATGATTGTATCCCTTATTATTTTGTTGAAGACATACAGATGTGTAATTGAGAAATGGGTGGGTACGTGTGTGTGCATGTGTGTGTGTGCGTGTGTGCGTGTGTGCGTGCGTGTGTGTGTGTGTGTGTGTGTGTGTGTGTGTGTGTGTCTTGGGACTGGATTTATTTGGGGATAAATATAAACATTTTTCATACAATATACTTCATACCAAAAAGAATTAATTTGGCTATGCCAAGATATTTAAGTTAACTGTAGATCTATGTCTGTGTTTCTAATCAGTCTACTCTCTAACTCATGATGTAGCTGGTATGAGGAATTCAATAGCTAATACCCCACAACTTAGAGCTTTTACTGAAAGACCACCCACACTGAAAACTTTATTGGACATCATTCCTCCTATTTCCTTAGCTGAGATGTTGGCATGCTGACTTAAATAAACTATGGTTCTTTGATATTGTCTTTAGTGTGCTTTGAAGTATCAAATCTTAACGGTTTAAGCAATAATTTTTCTAAAAAAGATTTTTCAGAATGACATTGGAATAAAAATAAGCAATACATATTAACATTATATATTACATATTCAGTAAAAAATTCTTTTATGCTTTTTAAAAGATCTGATGCATTCTGCTTTCACTATTTTTCTGTACATTTTAGCATATTTATATCTAGACAACAACACAAGTTTATCAATGTCTAAAAATACGTGTGCTGATCTACACTTGTAGGAATGGCATATTCTAAAGTCTGCTCTACTATGGTATCCTGACTCACACTATTTTTACTATTTTATAGAATAGTAATGCCACATTATTTACAGCAGTCTGACATACTTTCATGTGGCAGGTTCTTAGGAACTCAATTATTTATTGATATATTATTGCCTCTGAAAAGCTTCTAGTGGCACAATTTATCATTGAAATTCTGAATTCTCTTTCATCAAAAAAAGATTTAATACTCTGTATCTGGAGTATGGTTCAAATCACATAATCGAGTCTTTAAAAATTTATTGCATATACAAGAAGCATAAGGCTCATTAGGAACACAAAAATTATGATGCATTCTTTCACCTTACACTAATTACAGGGGCAATATGAATGCTTACAAATAACTAACATCATGGTGAATGAAGTACAAATGATCTTCAAATCAACAGAAATGTATTACATGCCTAGCTATATGATTTTAATCTCCTTCATATTAAACAGTTATGTATTCTCATGCTCACTCCACATGCAATTTTCACAATAGAAATACAACTAAATATCTATATTTACATAATTGCTTTCTTGGACATATTTCAAAGGTTTATCTTAACTATTTAAGTGCAATGTGAGAGAAATAGTCAAATATATGATATAAAAAAGAAAAAAATTTAATGTGATCAAATAAAGAAAAATATATGTAGTAAGTTAGCTCATCTTTTTTTTTTTTTTTTCTTTTTCTTTTTTATTGGTACCAGGGATCGAACTCATAACTGCCTGATTGCGAGGCAGGCGCTTATGCCGCTGAGCTAAATTCCCAGCCCCATAAGTTAGCTCATCTTTAAAAATCAAATGGAAAAAATGCCAGAGAGAAAAGAATATGCTAAGTGATTTAGAATTCTGTGTGTTCTGTAAGTTCACAGATGCCAACATTTCCTTGAATAGAGGTGTGATAAGATGGAAGAATAGAAATATCCTTCATACAACTTTGAGAATGAGAAGTCAGCCCAACGAAGGTGAAAATATATCCTAGTCAGAGAAAGGGAGGAAATCCATAGTCCAAACAAACTTTGTCTGAGAATGACTCCATCTGATACTGGAGAAAAAATGCATTCTATCATTCAGTAAACTCTCAGAGGGCTATAATCAGATACCACCTTGATATGAGGCCTATTATTAGAAATTGAGCTCCTTGAGAAGTTTTAGAGTGCTCCCAGTTAGGGGCCCTGGGAATGCTGGGCTGAGTGATAGGAGAAGGGCATCTGAGACAGGCTGAGGGGACTGTGAGACAAGGGCATCCTGAGTGGTCTGCGCAGCACGGAGTACTTTCCTTTCTGTTCTTTCCCAATTTTCTATAAAATCTTTCTTCTTTTTCCCTTCACTTTATTTCTGCTATCTTTTGTTTTGTTTTATTAATTTTTAACTTCTTACTGTATTACACAGTATCTTTGTCTCTTTTTTGCATTATTAGTCGTGTTCTGCTTATGGTTTTTTGATTTAATTTTTGCTGTATTGCTAGATCTGGTTTGCTTTTATTGTAGGGGTGATTAATGGTTGTTTATTTTTCTTCTGATCAGTGTTGAAGATCCAGTCCAACACCATAAGCACACTGAGTCCTTTTCTATCAAACTACACCCTCAGCCCAGCTGAAAGAAACTGTACCTTATTCAGTGATGACCAGTTCTGCTCACACCTTGGCCAGAACTTTTCAAAACATATTTTGCTAACAAAATTTTAGAAATATCTGCAGAGGCTGCAGAGGCTTCAGAAGGAGAGGGGAAAGGAAAGAGGGAGACTAAATTGTTGCTTTATACCACTGATAGAGCAGAATAATAATAATTTGTCATGTTTGCTTTTTATAAGCATAATAAAAAGATATGAGAATAATAATGAAATCCAACTATGTAGAGTTTACAGAAATAACTACCATATGGCATTTATTCATGTCTGAGGATAAGAATGATTTCAGCCTCTAGGTAATTTTCTTCTATATTATCAAGTAATTCAGAGTTTTCATTTTTTAGATTCAGTCTGTAAGAATATACACAATTGTATATGTAATGATCTTGTTTTAGTGGAACATCATATCCAACTTTTATACTTCTATCTTCTAAATTACTAATTTGATTGAGCAGTTTATATAAATTTGGTCAGTATATTCTCAATTCTATTTTCTATATTTCTTTTTGCCTTTACAATTTTAACTAGTAACAAAGAAAAGTATATGATACGTGGTTCTAAAAAGCCTTCTGGAGATCTTACACATGGAAAAGCATTTAGAAAGTAATGCAAGAAACAAGAGGACAGAAAAGTACTGGTATGTGTCTTTGGCCCAGCAGAATCTGAAAAGTTGTGTCCCTTATACACAGTTCGACAACAGACACCATGTCTGTTTTGTCTTTCAATGCATTGCCACACTGCGTGGTACTGTAGCTTTTCAACAAATACTTGTTGCTTGCATAAAAGAGACAGAGAGAGAGAAAGAGAAAGAGGAAGGAAGGAAGGAAAGAAGGAAGGAAGGAAGGAAGGAAGGAAGGAAGGAAGGAAGGAAGGAAGGAAGGAAGGAGGGAAGGAGGGAAGGAGGGAAGGAGGGAAGGAGGGAAGGAGGGAAGGAGGGAAGGAGGGAGGGAGGGAAGGAGGGAGGAAAGGAGCAAAAGAGGGGAGGGAAAAACAGGGAAAGGCCTGGCAAGAGGTGTTAGAGCAAAGGAGAAATCAACAAGTGAGTACAGGAATATATGTATGTAATTTAATTTATTGTAAGCAGATTTTTAAAGTTCTCTCACAGTTCAACCCTCTTTTCAAAGAAAGAAATAGCCCGTTTTAGCTGACTTAGAAGCACTTGAAAACAGGAGCCTTTTAAATCACCATTTGTCTCCTGCTCTTGTAAACTTGACTCTTCTATTAAAATTCTAAAGTGCCTAAAGGCAAATTTTAGTGACACATTTCAGATGAGTAATTCCAGTATTCCCTTTGCTCTCAATTTAGGAGCTCCATATGGCTAAGAAACACCACTCATCTGCTTGATATGTTGATGAAACTGCTGAGAATGACTGCCATGTAAAAATGTCACTGTCATAAGATGATAATAGTTAAGCACTAATGTATAGACCTAGAGGACCAGTATAAATCACCTATCTAGGTTTTTGCAAAAATCAATCCAATTTTGAAACATAATTTCAATTTAGTTTAAACCAAAGCACCATTTTTAGGTGTTAAACAGTAAAGTAAGAGAAAAGGGGAGGGGTTTTAAGGAAGCAAGTAAAGGATAAGTAATTTGTTATGATCTAAGTAAAAATCTTGGCCAGAGATGCTATCAGTTTTGCAAATCTGTGCTAGTAAGTTCTTCCTCAGAAATGCTACTTGTAATGTTCGATTATCCCTAAAATTATTCTTGGCCTCATACACATTTCCACATCATCACAGTAACTGAGGAAGATACGAATCATTAAGCTCATTAATTCACTCATTCAAGAAATATTTACTGGACACTTACTAAGTGCTAAGGAACATACTGACACCAAATCTGCACCTCCTTGCCATTATGAGGTGTACTCTATAGTAGTATTAGTGTACTGATATATTAGTAGAAGTTTTAAATAACCACAGAAACAACAAACATCTATGCTATGCAAGTGTTACTTCATTTAAGACAACAGGACTAATGAGGTTAAGGTTATCACCATTTTATGAATGAGGAGATGAGGCTTAAAGAGGCTTGTATCAGTAAATGTGTAATTATAGAAACTGAAATTTTGAAAAAGAAAGTTAACATGTGATGGGATATCTGATATTGCTCAGGAGTCAAGGACATGTTTCTGAAGATATAATATTTACAGTTCAACTTTTGCATCAATCTAATGACACACCAAACATTGGCTAAGTTTTTAAAATTTTAGTTATATAAACTTCACCATTTCCTATCTCATAATCACCTCAGAATGATTACAGCAAATATACAGCTCATAAAGGCAATACAAAAAAGTTCATGCAGAATACTACTTTAGATAGAATCCTTCAAATTCTGATGAGATGGTGAAAATCAATTTGGAACATCACTTTCTCTAAAAAGTCATAAAATAGGTTATCTCTGCTTCACTGATTCTTGATTACTAGAAGATTTTGAGATGATTCAAGTTTTAAAAGGCCATTGTTTATACCTCAAATCATTACTAGTGTATTCCCTGATGATGTGATTTTCTTTCTCTTTTTTCTGAGCAGAGCATGATAGCTCTGACCCTCATCTGCTCCCCACCCCCAGCTGCATGAGTTCCTTTTTCTAGCCACCGGAGCCTGGGGGAACAATACCTGCTCTGCTAGGACATTGCACACCTTCCCCAACTGCTAGCTCTCAATGCCCACATAGAACATGTGCCTTGCTATGGGCAGTATTCAGCCATTCTGGATCCCCTAATCTCATATATCCCTTTACCTCATGCTACCTAAGCCCATCCCACTAACCTGCTATCTTGATCCATAAAAAAACCCAACTCAATAAACTTGACTGGAACTCTCTTTCAGAGTTGTTTGCTCCAGGAGGTCTGGCCTAGAACCCTATGTTCGGATTGATACTGTGTTCTTTTATCCTGGGATGTCACTGTTTACCTAACAGATGTATGTATTTTTAATCAAATTCCTACTAAACTATCTCAGCTCAAATTACAGAGATAAGGTAACGAAAACAAGTTCAGGTTAGCTTTTTCCTCTCTACCTATATTAGTCTACATTATTGTTTCTCAAACTTTAGGAAGCATCAGAATCACTCAGGGGAAATGGACTTGTTAAAACACAGAGAGCTAAGCTCCATTCCCACAGTTTCTGATTCTTTATGTCAGGAGTGGAGCCAGAAATCGTGCCTTTTTTTTAAACCAGGGATCAAACTCATGACCTTACAATTGCCAGGTAGGCACTTGTGCCACTGAGCTAAATCCTTGGCCCCCCCAAACATGCATTTCTTACAATGCCCCTACATGATGTGGACCTTACTCCTCAGAACTTAAAATTTCAAAATCACTACTCCAGAAGGTACATCATACTGAGATGCACTATTAAACAAAGTGAAAAAGTACTTAATATTTCCTAAATTAATACAATTTAATAGGCTAGCATCATTGATACCTACACAAAGAAAAGGGCGATAGGATGAACTGCAAGCACCATGTCACTTGGAGATGCCACATCAAATAGTGTTTAAAACCAAAGATGCAAATTTCTCTGGTTAGAATACAAGCTCTGCCATCTAATACCTTTGCAGTCATGAGCAAAACACTGAACTTCTCTGTGTTTCAGTTTCCTTATTTATAAAACTGGGAATATAATAATATCTACTTCATGGGGTTTTTATAAGAATTAACTAATGAAGTATTTAGAATAATGTGTGACCTGTATTTTATACAAATATTTACAAATAAAGGCTGGGCTCCTGAATAAAAACCCATATAACCTTTTTCTTAGATCTCAACCTATGCACAGCTGTTCTGAGACACTCTTCTCCCCACCACTGTGCTCCATTTTTTGTGGCTTTTATCTACTCAGAACTTAACTTCTGGCCTCCATCCACTGTAGAGAAACCTCTGACAAACATTTCTCAATAATAAATGCTTAAATCCTCATTAAAGTTGTAATTATGCTTTTTATTCTTCACTACTATTTCATCATCCTCTCATTTTTAGCCTATTTTATTAAACATATCTTTGAAGCTTCTCCAAATTCTTTGTTGCAATGAAGCAAAGTATGTACAAATCAATTATCCAGTAAATTCATATTACTAATTTTTTCTATGTTTAAATTCTATAATTATTATGTAATGAAAATAAACTAAAACACTTTACTAATATTCAATTATGAACTAAAAATGACTTTTAGTATTTTTATTACCATTGACAAAATGATGAATTATATGTTAGTCCATGTACTTACATCAAGCTTACAGGGAAGAAAATTGCTTTAATTGTCTACAACCTCAAGCTAAGATTTCCAAGGGTTAAAAAAAAAATGTCACTTGCCATTAATCAATTTGGACTTGACTTACGATAATCCAAATACCTAGAAAAATTATTTGATTTGCAAGATCTACTATGTTAATTGGAAATAATATGAAGAAGCCCTGAAGGGATGACATACCAGAAATCAGTGAATTACAGATAAGTAATTGTCTCCCTAGCTACTGGTAGTTGCATAATACTTCAGAACTAGTGATCTCAATAACTTCCCCATCTGGATCTTTTCTAGTTTTACTGGCTCTTTCTTGATGGCTACTACAATGTAGGTACTACTCGTTCCACTGAGTAAGTACCAGGCTATCATATCTGTCTTATTAATTATACATTCCTATTCATGATTTGATATTTTTACTTCTTATACACAATAGCATATGTGAATACTAATAGTACTTAATGTTTTTTAAACTATTTTTCAAATTACATTTATTATCTTTTGTGTACTATCATTAAGCCAAGCTCAAGAAAGACAAAGATGTGCTTTGTCCCTGACTTCAGATCTGCAACTAGAAGTATATAAAATATAATATAATTTCAAAGTTACACAATAGGTGATAGAATCATGCTTGTGCAGAGTTCTACGAAAAGACAACCTAATTTGAAAGGTAGAGTTAAGAGAGAAAGAGAATTTAAACAAGCACCGACGCTCAAAATATACTTCAGGAAAACAGACCAACATTATAAAGACAGAAAAGTACAAAATAGCCACATCCTGAGAAGTAAAAGGGACTTTGGTAAATTGCAAACTTCAGACAGGTAAAGGATTAAGAAGTGAGTCAACCGGAAAAGCTAAAAGGAGCTGCATCACAAAAGGCCCTTGTAAGTTAGAATGTTTCAATCTAAACAGTTGGAAATATAGATTCATTACAGTATTTTCAGCATTTAAATACAATCAGCTATCACTTTAGATGTTTCAAACATCTAAATCTGGCAGGGGGCAAAGACTGGACAGCTTACAAAAACAGGTGATTCTTTACATATCAATGAAGATCTCTGCTAAGGTAGCAGCAGAAAGGATATAAAGGAATAGCCTTGAAAGTAATATATGAGGTACAAGTTGCAGGAATTCAGGACTCATTCAGTGAGAAAGTTAAAGGAAAATAAGAAATACATGAATGTTCCAAATATATTTTATAGCTGGTGAAATGGATGGTGTGAATAAAGACCAAAATGGAGAAACAGAGTCATGGGGAAAATAGAGGACTGCTTCAACACAATAAGCTCACAATCGGACATGTTGAATTATAGGTTCTATATTCTTAAACATGAATTCATACAAGACAGTTAGCAGGAAAAAGAAAAAAAAGAGGCAAGAAAGGAGGAACCAAGTTGGGTAAAGTAGCAAATATTAAATCATGGAAATCCTGAATAGATGAAGAAACTTGCAGTGATTCAAAAAGCAAAGGAATTATCACAAGTTCATTAAACAGTAACCTAACATGATAAAATGCAGAAGGTTTAATCTAAAACCCTAAAAAAAAAAGGCAAATGAGTTGCCAGGAAGACAAGTGTAAAGTGGTAAGATCTCAAATGAACAAACTGACCTGAGTGGGGAAAAAGAACTAGGGGACAGATCACTGGGACCTACCCCTCCATCCTCAGGCTAAGGCACTCTTCTGTGATACATGTTTCCTATCAACTCCAAGCTCTCAGTCATGGCTTCCATGTATGGTTGGCTCAGGTCTGTAACTCGGACCCTGAAATTGCTCCTACATTCCAGGTAAGTGTCCAGAGCACATCTGCTTACAGAACACATCTACTGAAAAGTGTTTCATACATCCAAACTAGACATGCCCCAAATCTGAAGATCCTTAGTGCTCGAAGACGAGGATCAAATCTGTTAGAATTAAATAACAGCACCTTTTAATATTTCCAATTTTACTTCCTGCATCAGATTTCTACTGCTGCTATAACAAATTATCATAAATGCAGTGGCTGAAAGCAGCACATATTTATTGTCTTACAATACTGGAGATCAGAGAATCAAAATAAGTCTCCTGGATCTAAAATTAAGGAGTCACCACAGCTCTGTTCCTTTTGGAGGTCCTAGGGGAAGAGTCTATTCCTTTCCTTTCCCAGCTTCTAGAGGCTGCCTTCATTTCTTGAATCTTCTTGGTCACATAGCTTCTACTCCTACTTCTGTAGTTTCTTCTTGTGTGAATCTCACTCTCCGTTTTCTTTCTTTCCCACATAAAGATATGATGATGGGTCCACTTTACGTAACCCAGGTTAATCTCCCCATCTACATAATTACATCTGCCAAGTTCCTTCTACTATGTAATAAAACATATTCACAAGTTTTGGGAATTAGGGTGTAGATTTATTGGGGGTACTACTATGCCAACCACACCTCTCTTCCATCTCCTCCTCATTACCAGTGTATGTCTGCATCCTGGTACATAAACCTGGAATCCTGATAGCTGTTCAAATGTGAAAAGGAATTTTTCATCCCAGGATCAAATGTAGCTTCTCTGCCTAAAACAGTATGTTCTGTCCAGCTGTTCAGTAGTGACACACCTCGTCTATGTGTACAATTTAACCCACTAACATCTCCTCTTGGAAGCCATCCTTAAACTGTCAAAGTAATATACAATTCTCATATTCTCTAAACTACCATATAATCCTCTAGAATGAAGCTTGTCACCTCAACCATAATTCTTATTTACCTATGTGTCTTCCAAACCGGACTCTAATCTCCTTTGGGCCATGGTCTGTCACAGTCACCAATATATCTCAAATAACTCATATACTTTCTTTTATACAAGAGACATAATTATGTATTTTTTGGATGCTAACTAAAGAGATACAGACATGCTAAACACCCCCTGGATTTTTACAAAATTTTCACCTTTTTATTTCATAGGAACATTGATGACACTCCAGACATCTACACTTAAGGTTTAAATAGAACTTGAGGAGTCTTTTGAAAGTTATTTTGAGAGATTCAGAAAATATTGAATACCTCATGGCCCAATATTGCGGGTATTTTAAAAATGATTCTATGACCACCAACTGAAGTGACTATAGGGTTTAAAAAGAGAACAGAAGTTTATTATTTAAAAGATGATGAAGCATTACTAGAAAGTATTGGGGAAATCATACCTCTTAAACACATCATTAAGAAACATTCCTAATGGTAAAACCATAAAACAATGAGTCCTATGGTTTGAATATGACATAGTTTTATTACCAAGAGTTATGCTACAGTCTATGATGATACTACACCAAATACATTCAAACTCCTCTGATCATGGAAGCTAAGCAGGGTCAGGCCTCATTAGTGCTTGGATGGGAGAGATACACTAGGAAAAAAAAAAAAACCCTGACACTGGCTGATTCTAATTTTATTTTCCGTTAGCCATCAATGAAGAATGGATGAGATACAGAAGATTGTAATTTCCCTCTGTGTATATTTTCTATGTTTGGATCTCGAATGCCCAATTTGCCCTCAAAGAAATAATATTCAGAAAGAAGACTCTCAGGAAGCACCTGGATTGTGGGAGCTCTAACCTTGACATCATATCTTAACCTTGATGAAGCTATTGATGGCACTTACTGGTAAGTGGTGGAAATATCAGCAGAAGCAGGTAACTGGAGGCATGTCCTGGAAGGGTATACTTTGTTCCTATTGCCTACTCCTCTCCTGGCTGTTATGAGGTATGCAGTTTTCCACCATACCCGTTTAACATGAAGTTTCTGCCATACCACAGCCTAAAAGCAATAGATCCTACTGACCATGAAGTGAAACCTCTGACACTGTGGGTCATTTCAGATATTTCTTCCTTGATGCGTTTTTCCCTAGGCATTTTATCAGTGATAGAAAGCTGCCTAAAATAGTATCTGTGTTAAAATTTTCTTCTGGAGGAAGTTTTAATGTATATAACCTGTATATAAATGACAGAAGGAAGAATATAAAGTTTAGCTTTTTCTAAAACTTACAAATACATATGAATGAGGTTTTCCAATTTAAAAACCACTTAAAGATATCTTTTTAATGTCCTTGGTCTTTCTTACTTAAATCCTATTATTTCAATGTCATTAAAAATCTTAGCATGCAAATTCAGTCTCTGGTAATAGAATATGGGACAAATCTTTTGTGGTATAATTAAATTGCTATTTTCAAGGACTAAGTAGCAGAAGGTGAACACTAATTTAGTTAATATGATAAAAAAGATCAACAGTTCTTTTAAAAAGTGAAAGCAAGAGCAGTTGCTCTTGTATATCATTTTTGCTTTGAAATAGTTTCATACAAGAAGATTTTCACAAATAAGAAATATTAAATATCATATGACTACCTCATAATTTTGCTATCAGAGAAAAATCTAAACAAGGTGTCAAACACAATTTTGAAACCAATTAAATCGAGTTTCCATTAGTCTAAAATACAAATAAATTGAGCAAGAATGCACTAGCAGGGTAGATATGTACCTCAGACGTACAGCAGATGCCAAGTGTTGGTAAAATCCTTGGGTGCACACAGGCACACAGACACATACAGAGACTATACCAGGAATATTTTCTATCTGTACTTAAAAACACCTATAAAATTTGCTAAGAGCAACTAACTCTACTGCAATGAAAAAGTAACTTTATTTTTAGCACTGGAGACTAAACTCAGAGCCATGCACATGCTAGGGAAGCACTCTACCATGAAAGGACATTCCCAGTCCCATATAACTTCTAGTAAAAAGCATAAAAGACAATAATATTATAGAAAATACATTATTATACAAATAGAATTAAACTAAATATATCCTATTCAAAAAGGGATTTCATTCATAAAAGACTTTGGAAAGCTTCAGTGTTCCAATTTGGAATCTCTAAACGCTAAAATTTCTACATTATTCTATGAACACGAAATTTCTACGAACATTTTGTTTATATTTGGGGGGGCTGTTTATGTTTTTGTTTATATTTTTCAAATATTTTAACTTCACAAAATGTCTACATATTTCAAAAACAATTTCAAATATTTACTAACTAGTATGTGTTAGACTCTGTCAGATACAAATGAATACAAATGTCTTTGTTGCTTGAATAGTTCACTGCCTGATAGGAATGTCAGACACATAAATATAACAATAATACAAGACCAAATAAAGTAAGGGCTATAATTATTATAGGTCTCCACGTAAACTGAGAGAGAAACATTTCTATGGAATGGTGTATGACTCGTGTACCAAACAAATGGACTTCCAATGAAAACGGATACCACATCATCAGAGGTTTTTCATCTCAGAAATTGTCTCACTTTCTCACTACTGAGATGCAATACCCACCTCCCATAAGTTGAAGGGAGAAATTTTACATAGTATATAGAAGTTTCAGATCATAAATTACCTGGCTCCAAGGTAGAGCAGCATGGCAGAGGGCTATGAGAAAGAACTCATGGCGAGGCAGATAGGAAAGAACAAGGCCTCCTTCTTCCTCCACTTTTTATTCCACTCAGGATGTGAATCTATTTTTGGTGGGTCTTTCTCCCCAGAATAGGTCTTTTCTCTTCAGTAAATCCACTGTCCACATCCGGAACTATGCTAACCAGTAAGTATCCTGATCACATCCATGATGCAGTATCAAATACCCATGATCCAGTCATTCCTAACAGCCTCACCTATGAGCACATGAGGCTTTGCAGGGATATCCAGACATAAACCATAACAAAGATTTTGTTTAGCTGCACTTTGCAAGAGCAGAGGGAAGAGAATGTACTGAGCAAAAGAAGTTACGTGACTGAAGAGAGCAGTCCCTGACAGAAGCAGGAAAGGTATCCTCTTCTCTCTTGTCAGGCCCTATGCATTCTCTGCAGTCTCCTATGTGCTTTGATTTACTGACCACTTCTCTCCTTACTGAAGGACAGAAATACCAATAATAATATACATACATACCCTTACTTCTAATAGCAAAATATTCTAAATGGTGTATAAGTCCATCAACACATGATGAATGGATAAAGAAAAAAGGTATAAATTCGCCATAATATTAGGCCATACAGAAGAATTAAATGAGTCATTTGTAGGAAAATGAATTCATCTTAAGACCATAGTGCTAAATAAATCAGACACAGAAGGTTCAATATTGCATGGTTTCTCTTATATGAGAAATCCAAAGAATAATTAAAGAGCAAAATGAAAGATAGATAGGAAGAAACAGGGAGGTAGATTTTATGAAGATGGGGAGGGGATTCAGGGATGGAGAGAAGAAGAGGGAGGGAAGGGGAAGTATGTATATGTACTAATACCCCAGGATGAATGGATTCATATGTACCACAAACATACACTAATAAAGATATTTTTTAATTGGAAAAGGAACATTTTGCATCAGAATCCCTATGTTCTTTTTGTGGCGAATACTTTTCTTCTTTATACATCTCCCTGTCTTAATACATAGTACTGTGGAATTTTTAGAATACCAAATACATTCTCAATGGCTAAGTACAAGGTTTGAAAAATAACACATCATACAAAGATACTGACCTCTGGGCTTGGGATTTAGCTCAGTGGCATAAGCACCTGCCTAGCAAGTGCTAGGTCATGAGTTCAATCCCTGGTACCAATAAGGAAAAAAAAAAAAAAAGATGCTGACCCTCCATAAAAAGTTAGAACTTACCATTTATAAGATAAAATAATCAGAAAGAGTGTAAATTTTTCCCACAAGGGCAAAGAATGAATAAAAAAACATAATAGCAGTAACCCACTCCATTTGATCTTCTAACAATATTACTAAATATTAAGCTGTTTAGATATAATGTAAATGTCACAACTGTGATCTTTTGTTATACTGATAATTGTGTAATCTTTTTAACATACTTAATGCTAACTTATTAATATTTTGGGCATAAATATAGAGTCTTAGAATTCTGAATTTTGTTCAACAAAAAATGAACACAGAGAAAAATGCTGATACAGAATATTTTATACTAATATACATAATATTTTAATATTATGCTCTTTTCTATTATTAAAGGGCACTAAACGCACAACCTGTGAAACTATTCCTAAACTCTTATAGACACATTGTTGAGGACACTCTAATTTAAAATTCCAAGAGAAAATTTTCTTTAGAACTTGTTGGCATAAAAATTTGCTTTAAACAAATTAAAATTCTTCTCCCTTTCTAATCATAAAATTAGTTAACGATCTCTATAACAATTTTCAAGTTCACAGATAAATTTGAAGCTCAACACAGAATTTACATAGGTCTTTAAGAGCTTTTACTTTGCATTTTATTACCTGTTCTTAAATTTTCATCATTACTTATTTTTTATGATACTGATAACATGGTATTATTTTAACATTATTGTAATATAATTTGATCATAGCTCTATACAAGTTCATTTTGAAACAAGGTAAAGTAAAAATAAATTTTTTCTGCTTTTTAAATGTGCCAGTAAATGCCTTACATTCTTTGAGTGATTAAAAGAACAGACAGTGTCTAGCAGATTAGTGAGTCCGATGGGACCATCACTATATGCAGAGGTGGCTAGCTCACATGCAACACTTAGCCTATCCAACCTTCAACAGAATGGTGTTTTCCATCTGAACCCTAAACCCTAAATGTGGTAGTCAAGGGTCTCTAAAATCTGTTTTGCCTAAAACTTTTAGATTATTCACCTCTAAATGATATGCTTCTGTCAAATTCATCTTTCCTTCCTTAAAACAGGTTTCAGAACATCCTGCATTTTTGGTTTTCTTTATCAAGTGAGTCCCCTACTCCATCTTTCTCTATGAAAGATTTGCAGAACATTTGTTCCCCTTCTGAATGGTACAACACACACTTTTATTTTTAAAATAAGCTTTTATTACTTTTTAAAAGCTTCTGTCAAATTAGTGTTCACAAAATCAATTTACTGGGTATAGATATCATAAAAAGTAACATGCATCACATGAAGAAAAGATAAAAAATTTTGTGAGATTTCAGTTCTATACACACACAGCAATACTACTAAATTAGTGTGACCTGTGTCTCAATATAAAGTACAACTTCTTCCTACACATTGTGAGGAACATGATTGTAAAATACTGCTTTATAAAGTTTTCTACTAAACGTTATTATATAGTTTCTGAAAAATTTACACATTATATAAATAATACATTCAACAGACATTAATTAAAACCTAGACTTAAACTACCAAAAATAACCCAATAATTTCTCCTACCCAAAATAATCCTAACTAGTACTCTGGAGTACAGTCTTTCAACTAGTACTCCAGAGTATGTATGTATGTATGTATGTATGTATATATATATATACCGTATGTTTTATCATATGAAAATGAGTTAGTACTGCAACAGCTTTATAAATTACCTTTTCTACTTTAAAAATATGAAATATAAATATTTTGTCACTTACCAATCCAATAAAGCATCTCCTTGAAAAGTTGTAATGCTTGAGGAAAGCTCCACATTTTCAATGTAGTTTAAATTTATTTTTGAATGAGTAATATAATTATTAAAATATCAAACATAATGAGTTTTCCTTTTTTCTCTGCAACCAATTTCAACCCCATTCCCAAACATATAACCTCTGTTATTAATTTCTTGCGGATATCGTCCTCTTTGTTTTTTTATTGGGTTGGTTGGTACTACAAGTCCTCATGCAAGACAGACAAGCACTACCCATTGAGCCACACTTCAGCCTTGTGTATATTTTCTAAGTTTCCTTATCATATAAATTCAAATTCAGGCAAATGAGCTTATACTCTCAGATTCACACAAAAGATAGCATAGCACAAACTTTGTAATTTATTTTAGTTTCTTTTACTATCAGTGGATCTTGGAACTCCCCAATCGACATATAAAAACCTCCCTCATTAACAATACTCCACCGAATAGTGGACCATAATTACTAAGGAGACCATGACTGACACAATTCCATATATATACAAACCAAACTGATAGAAGTGTTATTGCTCAATGCTGCACACATTTTATAAGTTTTTAGAGGTTTTCCAACTTACAGTTTTAATGCAAATCTTAGTGATTTTTCTCTACATCTTTGTCAAGAAAGTGAGTTATTGAATTATGAATTTAGGCTAACATTTTATGTAAAAATAATATTTTGTTAAGTTTTAATTTTCCTTTATTGAGACTGGTGAATCATCTCCAACATCTTCATAGGTCATTTGTATTTCTTTTGCTGAACTATCTACGCATGTACATTGCCAATTATTTGGATATTTGTCTTTATTTTATCAATTTCTTGTAGCTCTCTGTAAAAAAAAAGAGATTTGCCTTTTTGTTGTATGAATTTGCTTTGGTTCTTTAATCCTGTCTTCTCTTCCTCTTTTCTTAATTTATTTTTAAATGATGCATAAAAGACATAAAAATTCTACAATGAAATAGCATGGTTTTAATACATGTAGACATTGTATAATGCTGACGTCAGGCCAAATATATCTCTCTCCTCTAACATTTACCACTGGTGAAAAGTTTTCAAATATTTTTCTAGCTTTCTGAAATATATGATATATTACTCTTGTCCATCGCACTATGGAATGCTATACCAGAACTACTTGACCCCCTGAAACTTAACACCTTTTGTCAATCTTTCCCCATTCTTTTCTCCCTCCTACTATCCAGAATCTCTAGTAGTTACCATTCTACTCTCAATTTCTATGAGATCAACTTTGTTTAGCTTCCACATATGAATAAAGTTCTATGACGTTTGTCCTTCTGTATCTAGCTTATTTCAGTTAATATAATAATGAAATAATCTCCAACTATTATATGACTGAATAGTATTTCACTATGTATATGTACCACATTTTCTTGATTCATTCATCAATGGATGCATATAGTTTATTTACATTTCTTGGAAATTATAAACAATGTTGTAATAAAAAATGGGAATGCACAAGTCTCCTGATGTACTTATTTCATTTCTTTAGGTTACATACCTACTAGTGAGACTGCTGGCTTATACAGGTAGTTCCATTCTAATTAGTTGAGGAACATCGAAACTATTTTCCATATTGGCTATACTGGTTTACATTTTCACCAACAGTGTGCTTTTTCGATAAGACTTCTACATAATCTGAGGTGCTTTTGACTACCTTAAGATGTACTTTAAAGTTTGTGGATTATACACAGCTTCTACTTTCATGAAAAATGCACTTTGGATTTTTAGATTTTTGTGGTTCTGTTTGGTTTTTTTCCTATGGTATTGAATGGAAAACAGGATAGAGAAAAAGTAAAAGCAACTGTATTCATATAAAAACTCTTCTTACACATTTTCTTTGTGATTCAACTTCAAAAGATGATAAGACATCAGGTAATATTTGTATTATACTATCAAATTTATGACTTTCATCTTGCAATAAAAATTCCAATTACTTTTAAACTTTAAATTCATGCTTTTTCTGCCATTCCAAACATCCCTCAAATATTAACAGAGTAGGCAGAAATGTACAGAACTCACTACTGAAGAACCTGGTTCTTCAAACCAAAAATAAAGGCAGTCTTAGGCAGTCTTAAGGATGTAACACCCACTGAGGAAATCAGTTACAGAAAATCAGCAGCCTCCAAGCCCTTATTCAGTTTCTTGAGACATCACTGTTTTTTCCTCTGGTAAAGGACTAGGCTTTTGGTTTCATTTGTGCTGTGCTGGGGACTGAACTCAGGGCCTCACACATTCTAGGAAGCATTCTACCCCTGGTCTACATTTTGAGATTAAGGATATATTTTTTTTAAAAAGTCAAACAATAATTTATATAGGCTATGATTGCATTCTTTTTTTCATTTTATGTATATAATAGTTCAAATCTAAATCCAAGTTTAATTTGGCTTCCCGGACTATTTTAAAATACAGAGTAACCATTATCCTGTATTCTACCTTGCATACATGCCATAGTTTCTACAAGAGTGTCTTGGTAATGAGACCAGTAGTGTAGAATTTAGGGCTATATCCTGATACGGCAATACTGGATTACAGAAAAAATCATTTTGAATTACTAATGTTACTGATATAGTACAGGTTATAATTTATGCTACCCGGGATTGTAATAAAAATAGTAAACAAAAAAATCAGTTTCAGATAAAAATTCTGAAATTTGCCAAAAATATGATTTAGGATAAATTATAATCTCTGCATTTCCTCACCTAACAATGAGGATATTAATAATTTCAGTTGTTGAAAAGATGTAATAAAATGATGTAAAAGGTTTTCAGCAGACTAAGCTATTTTTTATTTCACAATTTAAATTTTTCCAAATTTGCCTTCTGTTCTGATTTAACTGTCCTATGGAAAAGGTATCTGAAAGATATGATACTGAATAGTTCCTCACAACTACAAAATGTTTCCTCATTATAAATGTGGAAAATTACAAATAGGGCTATTGCATGATGCAGCAGGAAGCTAACTGGCCTAAAATGGTATCGCTGATCCTGATAAGACAATTTGGAGTTTCTCCTCCTTCAAATTCAAGGCCCACATAGAGAATTAAAGCATATTCTGATAAATTTCCTTATGAAAAGACTGGCAAATTTTGTGTCTTTCCTCTGTCAATAGACCTAATTAATTGATCTAAAAGAGTCAAATAAACAGAATAGTGAATATTCTAATTAAAAACTTTTTTCAAAACTCTGGGTTTTCACAATTATAAATTTAATATGACAAGATATTTAATTATCTCATTTTCAATAGCTAAAAGAAAGGATTACTCTTCTATTTGTCACATTTTAAACACACAGCACTTTAAAAATTTCCCACACAAATGACAGCCTAAGAGAATTAATTGCAGAAGTACAGCTACCTTAATGCCTCCAAAAATAATATTACTGGAAAAAAGTTCTTAGAAATTAAAATTATAGCATTATGTATCTTATCTGAATAGCAATATTACCAGTAAAAACTTCCTTGAAATTCACTATCATTTTTAAATATAAATCTTAAATATATAGAGGCGCACTATGAAAACTTGTAAAATTTAATGTTGCTCCTACACAAATTAAGTCAATTTCCTAAATTATACAAGAGACTTTTGAAGATAATACATATTTCTTTATTAAGTTAAACTAAATCTATGCTCGTCTCCCATCGCTCTCTCCAGTGACCATGGTTTTAGCGTGTTAGTCTCTGTGCTTCCTCAGTCCACCAACGAACTTTCTTTCCCCAGACACTCATGGAAGGTAGCCAGCCAGCAAACACATATATGGCTCTCCTAATTGTTTATGGTTGGCATATGTTCTAATAGGACAGTATCCATTCTATACTAACTGCTAACACTTTAATATTATCCTTGCATATCACCAACAGATAACTTAAGGGGAACTCAAAAGTGCTAGTATTTCCTCAATGAATTCCATCTTTCAACAAAAGTTTATTGAATATATATACTCTGGTCCATCACTCTTCTAGGTACTAGGGATCCAGTTGCATTAATTGGCCAATATAATTCTGCCTTAAGAAGCTTGTATTCCACTTGGAGGAAATAAACAAGTTAAAAATATATCCTATGATATAATCACAGATAAACATAGCCATCATTCAGAGATATTCACAAAGTAAGGATAGATTATTTTAGATATGGAATCGAAGGACTCTGATAAACTAATGACTGAGCAGAAACTGAACTAAATAAAGAACAGACTATACACATGTCTATTGTATTTGTTAACTTGTAGATGATGAAATCAGCTGATGAATAACCCCTGCTTATCAAAAAGTAGTTTCCACCTTCCATATATTTGCATAGCATTTGGTAGGCAGCACAGAAAAATCAGTCAGTGGAAGGTGAAGACTAGATGGCTTGGTCATCTACCTAAGTTTTATTACTATGAAAATGGTCCTGTTTTCTCTATCTCTGAGTAAATAATGATATGCATAAAAGAAAAAAACTATTTTGACTACCATAGGCACTATGACAATACACTTACATTTTTATAGTTAGAGAAAAAATAAATGAAAAGAGAAACAAATGGGGAAAAATATCCTGAGAGCAAAATAACCTTCTTTATGTAAGCGAAAAATGAAGTCTAGCATGAAATGAAACATATTTTATAGCACCTTATATGGTCAAACACATTAACTTCTTACATAAATTAAATCAATAAATGGATTCAGTAATACAAGTACAAGTAAATTTTCAAGGAAGATATTTAACAGATAACAGCACCATAATAAAATCCATGTCAATTTGTTCTTCACTCATAATAGAAAATTAGCTAACTTTTACAACCTTGGGATTGTGATTACCTCTTATGAGTAATGTGAAAAGTACATAACAAAATGTACATCAAAGTAAGAGGATGATTTGCATATTTCAAATACCAGTACTTAAGATCAGATTAATAGTCAGGAGTTCCTACCTCATAAAACCATTATATATAGCCCTTTAATCTTCGATACCTTCCTGCATACATTTATTTTCATAGTTACTGCCATAAAAGAACAAGATAATAAACTCCACAGTGTTAGACGTAGAGAAAGATAATAATTGACTATATTATAGTCAGAGAATCAAATCAATTATCTAGGTTCATTTCATAGATAATTTTATATTGTGAAGGCTATACTTTTACTTGATATCATATATTCCTATTCATGTCCAGGTCTACATGATATTTCTCTCTGTAAGGGTTTTGGCATGTCAACTTAGATCTGACTAAATGTAAAGACAGTGGAAATATCTGGCTGGCTTGTAAAAAGGGACATCAGTATCTGTGAAAACCTAGATGTACAATGTGTTACCCTAAAATGCATAAAAGTATCTTCCTTCACTGAATTTGATTCATACAAGAATATAACAGAATTGAAGATTATACTTTAAAATGTACAATTAAGTATATGAAACTCTTGTGCCTTAGAAAGGGAGGCAACAGTGATAAAGGAGATCTGAAAGGTGACACCTGGGTTTATTATTTTGGAAAAACTGGAAATCTGATGAGACAAATTTTGGCATAAATTCAGGTAATAAACTCACTCTCATTTAAAAAATAGAAAAAATTCTGAGTTTGGGAAAACATAAATCTGACTTTAACATATACATTTGCAAGTTTTGGTGTATAAGTAGTAAATGAAATCATGAGAATAACTTTGAATAAAAAAGGATAAAGATGTTGAATTGTGTATAACAGTATCATATATTCACAGATAACAGGAAATATTTGAAGACTTATTTTATGAGAGAAAAACAATGACAACCACTAAAAACAGAAAAATTTTGTGTAATTTTCTATAACTAAAATAGAAAAATGAATGGAGAAATCTTAACAAAAAATGAACCAATTTTATAACATAAAAGGTAATACAAGAAGGCCAAATCCTTAGCTACAGAATTAAAATGTTGAGCAACTGCCTGTCTGTCAAAATCTTCAGTGAGAGGACTATTCACTTCAGCCCCTGAGTGAAGACTCATACAAATAAGGACATCCATTTCTAGTCACAAGGCAAACAATAATTTCTTAACATTCAGTTACCTATATCTAGATTATACACCAGCATTCTCAAGATTAACATTTCAAATTAACAGTCATTTGTGGATCAAACATCAAATCAATAAATATTACCTATCCAATTCTATGACTGCCTTGTTTTTTCTCTGCTCTTCACATCAAGACAGCTATCTAAGGAAAAACCCTGTTCACCCCAACTCAATTCCTCAAACAGCGAAAATGCTCAGATACTCAGGCAGCTCGACTGTTTTACTTTGCTTTAGACCCCACAGGTCTTGTCTTTAAAACATAAACTTTTCTCATAGCCATACCTTATCCCATAAAGCACAGGAAATAATGTATTCTGTGCTAGAGTTTGGAAATAAAAATTACTTGAAAATTATCTCTCATCTAGATACTTGGCCCCACATAGAGAAGTTACGATTTGAAAAAAGTAATACAGTTTTTAAAGTTGAAATATCTTGCAATACATTGAAAATTGTAGGTGCTTCCAGGATAAAGAGGAACTAGGGGAATATGCAACCACAAATTCAACTCTACAGAGAATACTACAGGATATTCTAAAAAAGAAAAATACAAAGAATCCAGAAATAGTGGCAAAGAGGCCACAATGAATGGAGCAGAAAACAAAATGAAGAAGACAAACTGACAACTAATGACAGAGAAAGAGCTCAACAGAAATGAGGCAGAGAAGATTGGATGATAGGAACAGCTATTTTGGAGAAAATGACGTCTTAATAGGTAATACTGATTTAGTATCATCTGGTTTTGAAGTCTTATCAAGCTTTTGTTCTTCTGTCTCCATTGGTCTAAACAGGTTGTATCTCATTGGATTTTATTATGTATGATAGTATAAGCAAAAACTTTTAAAGACAAGGAGATTATACAGAAACCATTGTTCATTTTCTGTTGGTTGATTCTAAATACCCTGTAATGCTGTCATTCTCTTAAATGGTTTTACATTGTTTTGATATATTTGATGCTACAGTATACGAAGTTATACTCAAAGATTTCAAGGAAAGAGACAATATGGTAACTACTTTTATGTCAGGATTATCTTGTGGTGAAACACTATTCTGTTTAAATGGTTATGTTTTGATCTGCGCTGTTTTGCTGTTATGCCCTCTTTTATCTCAATCTCTACTTCATTATTTACTTTTTTATTGTTATCCTTTTAGTTAAGGGAAAAATAAATAAAAAGTAGCAGGATATATTATAGTAACCCACTCTGACTTTCCATTATCTTGATTTAAAGCCCTGTATTACTCTCACCATCTTGTTTTTTACTGATGTTCCCCTATTCTGTTTTGCTTGATAGTACCAGGTTCGAAAGTTTAAGCAACAGCTGTGAAGATAGTGAGATTCATTATAACGCCCATTCTCGTTGACTATTATCTACTTTTGAAGACCTATGTCTCCAATGTTTTGGTTTTGTCGGTTTTGTTCTTTACTGTTTTGTTCAATTTTATTATAACTGATGATATAGGTAATTCTATTAGAGATAGCGGGAGGCATTATAGTAACCATTGTTGATCACCTTGTATTATGCTTTTACATTATCTATTATGTCCACCCTTTTGATTTGATTGACTCTGTTCTGTTATGTCACAATTGGTTCTACTCCCTTCCCAAAAAGTAATAAGAACTGTGGGAGCAAAAAAACCCAAAATGGGTAATTGTCATTGTACAAAAGAGAGGAAAAGAAAGTGCTCTAAACTATATAACTGCATGTATATATAAGTGTATAAGATAGATAATGATATCACTGAGTTTTGTTGGATCATTGAACAGAACTGTTTGCAGTCTCACTGTTGGAATGTCCACTTTACAAGCTTTAATTTTGTGACTTGAACAATTATTTCTAAGATGACAATATGTAATCCATTAACTAGTGATTTCCTACTGTTTATTTTTTCTGTAAATCTGTATAACTTGTACCCTTTCTCTGCTTTTTTTTCTCCTTAAATAAAATTAAAAAAAAAAAAGAAAATTGTAGTTTTCAAAATTAAAATTCTACTTTACTCCTAATTGCTATACTCTTTTACTTCTATATTTTATTAGGAACCCACTGAAAGTAAAGAAAGGCTTCAAATCTTTTAAGAAAAACTGGAAAACAAAGACAAAAATCAGATTGTTTATATCCTTGTAAATAATGAATTGAAAGGCGATCTTAATAAAACTAAAGATGCACACTTCATTTGTATTGGTAGTAGTAGCATTCACAAAATCTTTTTGTTTCTGACTTTGTAGCATATGATCTAAAAACTCTATTTAAAGTGGGAAATATTAATTCAAATAAGTAAAAACTTACATATTTATGCACCTACCTTAGGAACAGGATTCAGGAGAACTACACCTGATTTCTTAGTGATGACTTGTTTTGTTGTATAGTGATGATCTATCAGTTGAGGGATGCTTGAAAATCCAGGGCCCTCAAATCGATACAGATTCTGAAAAGATGAAAATAAAAGGAACATAAATATGAAGAGACTGCTTTAGAAAGACTACATTCATTATAAAGTAAGTTCTACTTAATGAAAACTATCATTGGACAACATGCTCAACAGTACTGAACTATACACTTAAAAATAACTAAGGGGCAAAAAAGAAATATATAGAGAGAAATATATAAATACTAAAATCTACCTTTTGGCAAAAAATAATTTGCATAAAAGTAAACATAATTCAAACTGTTAAGAGAGTAAAAAGAAAAAAGAAACTCAAAGGCCTTGAGTTAAAATTATAAGCATGTCAAAAACAAAGCATGGGACATATTGATGGTAGGGAAGAAGAAATGTGTTTACATTTAACTACATATACTGTATGTTCTATTAGACAAAATTTTCAGTATCAAAAATATTACAAGTGTGTAGTCTAATACAATATTTGAATACTTCTGATGATTTATCTTATATATTGTAATATTAGATACATTGTTTCAACTTAAGTTTAGAAGTTTAATGAAGCAACTTGGCAGGGGGCCATTTTGTAAATATCTTCATCTTATGCAAAAAGAGGGCAGGGAGATCCTGTGAGTGCTACACAGGCCTTAGGGCGTAGTAGACTTCTTACAATATAAGGGAGGAAAAGAGGCTTGTTCTCCGCCCCCATTTGCTCTTCCTGCTTTTGCCCTTTTCTGCTGCCTTTAAGTGTTAGCCCTGTGCCATGCCACCCTGCCTTGGAGCCAGCTGATTACGCATGAACTGAAAGCTCTATAAACTGTGAACCAAAAAAAGTTTTCCTTCCTTAATTTTGGGTGTCAGGTATTTTGTCCCAAAAAGGAGAGAAAAGTAATCAAGACACATATTAATATAGTATTAGTTGCTCTTATATACTGAAATTTTCATTAATGTTACCAAAAAATTCATTCATATACTTCTGATAAAGAAATAAAATGCCCCAGTGACAAATCTTAAAATACTCCATGCTCAAATCTTAGCATTTTTCTTATCACCAGGTATGAAAGCAACATTCCCTGGATGCAGTCAAGACACCTTTCCTCTGTCTTCATATTAAGATATGACAGTGGGTAGGTTATCATGTAATGAATTGGTATCAATAAATAGAAAAATAAAAAAAATACTTCATTGGAAAAACTTTTCAATGCAAGAAGCATTGCAATGCAATGTAATAAAAATTTCCAACTGATTATTCACGAAGATTTCACCTGTACCTACCACAGGAAATATGTGGGTACAGATATGGATACGTATCATTTTAAGAAAATTTAAAAATAGAACTTCTTATCTCATAGAACTAGAAGGCAGACTAGACATCTAGAAAGAATAGAACACGGTAGGAAGGAGAGAAGGATGGAAAATGGGACATTGGCTAACAGGTACCAAAATAGTTTTACCTAAGAGGAAAAAGTACTGTAGCACAGTAAGATGATTATACTTCACCACAACTTACTATAAATTTTGAACCAGAAGAAATGAGTTACAAGGCTCCCATCACAGAGAGAGAGAGACAGACAGACAGACAGACAGACACAGAGACAGAGAGAGAGAGAGAGAGATATTTAGAGAGATAAAAAGGGTAATTACACTGATATAATCACTGAATTATACTGCACAACTATGCTGCATCAATTAAAAATTTTGTAAACTTGGAACTTTCAAACCTGTTTATATTTGACACAATTTTCAATAACTAGGAGATTATTTTCTGAGTAAATGGTTAAAGACTGAAAGTTCTTTTATTATAATATAAAATAAGGCTCAGTTTACCAGAACTTAATTTACATACAACTTTTTAAAAAAAATTTCCTTTTTATCATTTGAGAAACAAAGATGCAATTAAAGAGACAGTCTAAGATGCAGTAAGGAGATTATGCTTACTTCACCATTTATGAATATACAATTAACACAAGGCAATATTAATTAGATATGGTTACAGAAAATTCAAGATAATTGTTAACAAGTTCCTACAGAACTTTTTTCAAAGTCACTAGGCCAGCTGTGATACATCAGCTCTGATGTTTAAAAATATTGCACATGGAAATATTAATGTATTTCTAAGTAAGTTCTCACTCTCAGTTTATTCACTAGTGAAACAGAGATGATCTTGGGGCCTCCTCATGAGTAAGTATGATCACTAGGCATTAATTTTCAAGCCACTTTTTCCTAGAATATGGCACATCATACACTCTCAATTACCACACAAACAACAAATCCTTCAAAATTATTCCAAATCAGGATATACAAAAACAAGCATTTTCAAGAATGCAAATGTAAGTTTCATTTTCTCAAAATCTAATATTTATTTGTGAATAGCACATTTATCCTGAAAGGCATTCTTACACGAAACTGATTAAGAAATGACATACAAAAATATATACAAGACAGAAGTGTAACATGTAATAAGTAATAAACACAACCACATGCCAGGTGTGGTGGCACATACTTGCAATCCCAGAATGCAAGAGGCTGAGGCAGGAGCATCTTTGCAAGTTTGAGACCAGCCTGCACCACAAAGTCAGCCCAAGGCCAGCCTGAAATTCATAGTGAGACCTTGTCTCAAAAAGACCAGAAAAAAATCGTATTTTAGTCCAATATTTTCCTTCTTCCCTTATCTGTCCTTAAGTCTAACAGCAGTTATATCATCATTCAGGAATATATTTAAGAAACATGATAAAAAAATAGTGAATGCTACTGAGGAGTCCATCTAACAGAAAGGTAGGAACATAAAAACACACAGCATGCCCTTATCTACCTCACTGACCAAATCTGGTACTGTATAACTTCTGACACTTCCTCAAACTCAAAATGATATAAAAGGTAAATGTTCTGAATCAATTCACATCACCAAGGCAATCATGATGGCACAACTAAAATTTTCAGAAAAAGGACTTCCAAAACTGCTTAAGAAAGTGTCAAGATCTAAGGAATTAGTGTGCCTAAAAGGAGGGAAAGTATTTTGAGAGGGGATTAATAGCAATATGTCTCTTATTGTAACAAAATTTTTAGATATTCACTGCATTTTCAGATCACCTTTTACTCCCTCTTCAGGATCTGCTGTTTTGCCACTTGATTCCTTAGAAGCTATGAATTATAGCTCGCTTACTGCCTTCCAGTCTTTTATCAAAGTTAACTTTTCAGTGAGATTTATTATGGTCATCCAACACAATGCCCAATATCTGTCTTCTCATCCCAACTAAATTTTTTTACTTCAATGAATCTTCTCTTTACAACATATCACTATCATCATGTGTAATTTATCTGTTTACCTCTGTCACCATATATCTTACGTATCTTTTCTCATTGTCTTCTCCCCCTGCTTCTGCCAGAATGTAGGCTCCCTAGGTGATCAGTTTATTCATTGGTTTTGTTCAGCAAAGTATCCCCATGGCTCAAAATTTGTGTGGTACATACTGCGTGTGTCAATATACATATATGAATGAATGAAACACAGTACAAAAATGTGGCTGTGAATTTAGACAACATAATTAGAAACAGACACTAGTTCAATCAAAACACTGACCTATAATATTTAATAAAAAGATTAAGTTCACACATAATGAAATTTTAAATCAACTTCTGATGCCATGCCCTATGTAAAATTCTAAAATACTTCCACGACTATAGAACTACTGAATAAAAGTGAAGATTTTCAGTTTCTCTTTCTTACTGTATGAACATAACCAATTTTGAATTTATTTTTAAACAATCTGGGATAACATCTTATTAAAAAGTTTCTGCACGTTAAAAGAAATCTCCAGCATAGTGAAAAGAAAACCCACAAACTGGGAAAAAATCTTAGTCTACTGTCCCTCAGACAAAGGACTTCTGTCTAAAACATATAAAGAATTAAAAAAAATCAGACCCCCAAAATTCAAAGATCCAATCCAAAAATGGGCATCTGAGATGAATACACAGTTCTCAAATGAATAAATACAAATGGCAAATAAACACATGAAATAATGTTCACCATCATTACTCATTAGAGAAATGCAAATTAAAACCACACCAAGATTCCATCTCACTCCAGAAAGAATGGCCAGGATCAAGAAAACTACCAACAACAAATGCTGGAGAGGCTGTAGGGAAAAAGGAACTCTCCTGCACTGTTGGTGGGAGTGTAGACTGGTGCAACCATTGTGGAGGTTAGTCTGGAGAATTCTCAAAAAGCTGGGATTGGAAGTCCCATTTGATTCAGTTATTCCGCTTCTAGGCATATACCCAGAAGAACTGAAAATATCATACCACAGTGATATATGTGCACTCATGTTTATAGCAGCACAATTTGTAATAGCCAGATCTTGGAAACAACCTAAGTGTCCATCAACTGAGGAATGGATAAAAAAGTGGTGGCATTTTTTTATACAATGGAGTACTACTCAGCTATAAAGAATGATCACATTGAGATATTTATAAATAAATGGATGCAACTTGAGACCATACTCATAAGCAAAATAAACCAAACTCACATGTATAAATACCATATAGTCTCACTAGTGTAAGAAATGGTAAGAGTACATAAGAGTTTATGGTAATCATGATTCCCCATTACATTGCTTTGGAGCCTTATAATGTTACCATTCATTAGTTGGAATGGTTTTATCCTGGGTTGTTTGATTCTATTATTTGTGATGGTATGAACAGCTATTCTGAAGAAAACAAGACATTATAATAGCCAGTGCTGATTTAATATCATTTTGTTTTGAAGTCCTACGTAGTTTTGTTCTTCTGTTTCCACTGGTTCTATCCTGTTATATCTTACTGGATTTTATTATGTGATAGTATAAACAAATCTTTTATGGACAAAGGGATAATATAGTAACCATTTTGCATTTTCTGTTATTTTGTTCTGAATGCCCTGTAATACTTTCATTCTCTTTAATGATTTTATACTATTTTGTTATGTTTGATACTATTGTGTATGAAGGTATACTCAACTATTTCAAGGAAAGAGACATTATGGTAGCTACCGATATATCGTGTTGTCTTGTGGTGAAATACTGTGTTGCTTAAATTGTTCTGTTCTGCAAATAAAATAAAGTAAAATAAAATAAAATGAACAATCTCTCTGACCAATGAAGTTCTAAGAGTCCTAACACTGTCCGAAACTGAGTAACTCATTTTGTTAAAGAGGGAGCTACAATAATGAACCCACAAAAGTTATAAAGTTTATCTAAGCAACTGAAAGATCAAGAATAGAACATGCTCCTAAACTATTAAGGACTTATTTCTTTGTACATGAAACATTCCAAATTTTACATTTGATCTTGCCGAAATCTCTGTAAATTTCTTCTAACTCAGCTGATCAGGAAGCAGGAGTGACATATAAATAATTTTTAAGTATTCTATATTGCTTTAAAAATAATACAAAAAACTCAAGACTTTTTTTTTTGCTTTTGAAACAAGTTCTAAGTTATCTGGGCTGGCCTAGAAGTCCCAGGCTCACACAATCCTACTCAGTATCTTCAGGCTAAGTTTAAATTTACAGACTAATTTTAATTAAGAGACTTCTTTTATAAATATAGATTGGTATAAAAAATTATAAATTTCCACAAATTTCTACACAGATCATTTTGTTCTTGACTGTATTACATTTTAAAACCTCATAAAACATTAGTAAGTAAAAATTATAAATACAAAATATAAAATACAAAAATATATAAAATACAAAGTAAAAAATATAAATACAACAGGATGTTTAGAAAAGAGAAACTGCATAAATCCATGACTAAAATATATCCCGAAATCTGAAACCCCTTACACTGAATCCTTCAAGAGATTATCAAAAATCAGATCCTACAATACATAATCTTTGAATTTTTGCCAAAAGCATGTATTACTCTGTTTTCAAAACATTTACTACATCTAGAACTTGTTGCTCAGTTATTCTTGCACTACTTACAAATCAGTCATGCAAACAAATTGAAAACATAAAAGTCAGAATCAGATTTTAAAGCTCTTCACATTTCTGGAGAAACTATTGTGTAAGGAAGCCAGACAAACCAGAATAAGTACACAAAATAGGAGGTAGATTCAATGAGTGTACAATTTGAAATAATATGCCTGAGCAGAGCTCCAGGAGAAAGAAAAAATCAATACCCACAGTTCAGGATAATAAGCTGGCTTAAGAAAAAAACGCAAGAAGAAAAATTTTTTAAATTTAAAAACAAAGAAAAGAAAACCTATTTCTGAAAAAGGCTGAAATATTATGAAATTTTAAAAGGCTAGAGCCAAAGATGTAGCTCAGGTACAGCACCTGTCTGGCAAGCACAAGGTCTTGGTTAGATTCCTAATATCAAAAAAATAAGACTAAAGCATTCTTTTTTTGGTAAATATCTAAAATTAAAAACAAAACAAATACAAATAGAATGTTGATAATTATAAATAACTAAATAAATTATAAGTAACTAAATCAGTACACAAGGAGTGCTAAGACATTTGGAAAATAGTATCAATAAGTTTTCAGATTTAACTGCCTCAGGTTTAACTGCCCTAAGCTTCTTTGTTAAAAGATTTATTAATAATTGTGTTTTACCTGTATTACTACAGTTTACAATTATATAAAACATGTGATTTATGAATGTCTCTGAGCCTTCTTCATAGAGCATAAACACCACTATTATATCCCTGGGCCTTAAATAGTACTCACACGATTAGCAATTCCTAAAAAATAATATAAATGTATTTTGAGGGTAGCTTCGTATTATTGTGACAAAGGAAATATTTCAAGTCTCAACTTACATGCCAAGGGTATAGAAAATAATCCAACAGTTTCATTTTGATTTCAAGTAGTTATTGAATTCCCTTCAGTATTTGAACAGTAGTTGTGGAATGGAATAAAATAATTCTAAGTATGTGAAGATAGGGCCACAAATTTGGGATGAATTTTCATGTAAAAATATGCTGGACATAGATCTTTTGCAAATGAGAAGAGGACCAAGACGTGGAGGGACACAAAAGGGAAGGGCAAAGGGAAAAAAGAATTAAGAGAATTAAAAGAATTAAGATAGATTATGTACATGTGCCAATTCCTCTTGATAAATACAATCAGATGTATTGCAAACATGCACTGGTTAGAAAAATAGTTCCTGCCTCAGCCTCTCACAATGCTAGGACTTCAGGTGTGCATCTAATGCCCAGCCCGCTAAAAGGGTATTAGCCAGGTTTATACTTGTGGCTACGTGACAAACTGCCTGGTTACCTGCAATGAAATACCATAAGGATGGTACAGTAGATGGAAGACTAGCTTTGCAGTTTAATCTTCGGTCAGAACTAAATCTATATAAACCATATGTCTGTATGGTTTGTAAATGCTAACAAAACAATAACTTTTGCTTTTTGTTGCATAACTTTTCATATTTATGCTAATAGTTTCCAAGTGAATTAAAGTTGGCATACTTTTTTGATAATACTGTTTTAGCTGGAATAGTCTATAATACCCTTTATAATACAATTTATAGAGTATGACACACAAAATCACTACAAAACTTGTTCTAGGAAGGGTTGTTAATAAAATACTGTGTTTACAAAATGT